TTTTTTTTTTTTTTTTTTTTTTTTTTTTTTGGTTCTCTGGCTCGTTTTCTGTCTCTTTTTATAGATGCATCATTTGTTGTTATTTGTTTTTATTTTATTTTATTTTTTATTTGTAAGGGTTTAGGGTTTAGGGTTTAGGGTTTAGTATTTTATTTGTTGTATACATATCTAAACCCTTCTTATCTCAAAATTAGGGTTTAGGGTTTAGGGTTTACTGTTGCTCCCATTCTCTCCCCCGCCAGCCCGAAAACTAGGGTTTAGGGTTTAGGGTTTAGGGTTTAGGGTTTGTGTTGCAGGAAACATCACAGTGGGGAGCAGCAGCAGCAGAATGGAGTGTTAAGGGGGCAACAGAGTGGATGGGGGCCCCCGCAGCAGCAGATTGGAGTGACCCCGCAGCAGCAGCAGCAGACTGGGGGGCCCCCCAGCCAGCAGCAGCAGCAGCAGCAGCAGCAGCAACCAAGTGGTAAACTTTATCGATACTCCTATTGCTGCTGCTGCTGCTGCAGCAGCAACAGCAACAGCAGCAGCAGCAGCTGCAGCAGCAGCAGCAGCAACAGCTGCTGCTGCTGCTGTTTGGAGTTAGACACGTTAAGAGGACTGCTGGTTTCTCTTTGTTAGTTTTTGTCTGCTGCTGAGCTGAGCAGGGGTGGTTTTCTAGGGTTTAGGGTTTACTAGGGTTTAGGGTTTACTAGGGTTTAGGGTTTAGGGTTTAGAGTGAAGGCCTAGAGAGAAAAAGAGATAAACAGCTAATGGCGTACTAGGGTTTAGGGTTTAGGGTTTAGGGTTTGTAGTGCTAAGGTAGAGGAGTATATAAGCAGCTACTATTGCAGCCGGAGAGAGGTCTAGGGTTTAGGGTTTAGGGTTTAGGGTTTAGGGTTTAGGTTTAGTTGACGATATATTGAGGTGTATGTACACCTCGATATTCTTAGAAAAGAGAAAAAAATAAAAAAAAAAAAAAACTTTCGTTATTTGTTTTTTTAAATATAAAATATTTTATTTTTATGTTTTTGTTTTAGTTTTTTGTTTTTGTTTGTTGTTTTTGTTGTTTTTGTTTTTTATTTTTTTTATTTTTTTTATTTTTTTTTCTTTTTTATTCTCTACTCCCTCGCGGCGGGCGTTCATCAACACATTCAAAAAACGCACAGCTGCACATACACCCCACATAAACCCTAAACCCTAAACCCTAAACCCTAAACCCTAATTTATTTATACTTAGATACACAGCCCACGTAAGCCCTAAACCCTTATTTATATATATGTGGATGCACACCCCACGTAAACCCTAAACCCTAATTTATTCAGGAGGAGGAGAGGTGCCTAGACACCCCGTATAAACCCTAAACCCTAAACCCTAAATAAAGAAAACAAAAAAGAAGATAAAGAGAGAGCAACTAAGAAAGAACTCCTCGCCGAAGGGTTTAGGGTTTAGGGTTTAGGGTTTAGAGGGGCAAGATAGACTGCAACATTTGTGATAGCCGTTTGCTGCTGTTACCGGTGTTTAGGGTTTAGAATTAGGGTTTAGGGTTTAGGGTTTAGTTTAGGGTTTAGGGTTTTAGCGTTTAGGGTTTAGAACTAGGGTTTAGGGTTTAGAACTAGGGTTTAGGGTTTAGGGTTTAGGGTTTAGGGTTTAGGGTTTACTGCCTTTGGTAGCGAGTTTTCTAAGAAGGGTTTCTTTATCTTCATTCATTTGTGATGGGGTTATATGATAGCTGTTTCTTTTTCTTTTTTTCTCCTGTACACAAACCCTAAACCCTAAACCCTAAACCCTAAACCCTAATTTAGGGTTTGCGGTTTATATAAACCCTAAAAAACCCTCATTCCATTGTAATGGGGGGGATAGGGTTTAGGGTTTAGGGTTTAGGGTTTAGGCTCAATCCAAACCCTAATTTTTTTCTCTAAACCCTTATTTCAGCATCTATCTATTCACCCCTCTAAACCCTAAACCCTAAACCCTAAACCCTAAACCCTAAACCCTACGGCTAGGAGTTCTTTTTTGATTGCTTTTTCTCTATCTTCTTTGTTTTCTTTGTTTTCTTTTTCTTTTAGTTTATTTATATTTATACTCTCCTCGGCCTCGAGCAACGCAGCGATGCCTGAAAAACCCTCACAAACCCTAAACCCTAAACCCTAAACCCTAAACCCTCAACCCCCTAGCCCCCCTCAGCCCACACAGAAGCCATGATATGTTGAGTCGATGGTTTAGAAACACAAAAAAGGGTTTAGGGTTTAGGGTTTAGGGTTTAGGGTTTGAGCCGTACTGGAGGAGAAATCTGAGAGCGATTGCTGCTGCTGCCGCTTGACTTTCTTTTGCTGCTGCTGCTGCTGCTGCTGCTGCTGCTGCTGCTGCTGTGTGTGGTCTTGCTGCTGAGGGTTTAGGGTTTCTTGTTCTTCATCTAGCTGCTGCTGCTGCTCCCCCCCAAACCCTAAACCACCAATTAGGGTTTGTTGCAATTCATTTATTTTTTTTTCTGAGAGAGCAGCAGCACGCTGTCTTGCTGCTGCTGCTTGTCTCTCCATCTTTGATGCTTTGTCTCTCTTCCTCTGCTGCTGCTGCTGCTGCTGCTGCTGCTGCTGCTGCTGCTGCTTCTGCTGCTGCTGCTGCTGCTGCGGCTCGGCGTCATCGTTATCCTCTGCCTTCGGGCGCTTTCTCTTTAGCTTCTCCATCGTTGCTGCTGCTGCTGCTGCTGCTGCTGTTGCTGCTGCTGCTGCTGCTGCTGCTGCTGTTGCTGCTGCTGCTGCTGCTGCTGCTGATGCTGCTGTTGGGGCTACTACAGTTGCTGTTGCTGCTGCTCCTGCTGCGGCTATTGCTGCTGCTGCTGCTGCTGTGCCGTTGCTGCTGCTGTTGGTGTTGTTGTTGCTGCCGTTGCTGCTGCTGCTGCAGCTGTTGTTGCTGCTGCTGCTGTTGCTGCTGCAGCTTAAGAAGAATGAAATAACTGAAATTACTAACCCTTGCCTTTTGCCTGAGGAGAGGTTTCTGTATAGGGTTTAGGGTTTAGGGTTTAGGGTTTAGGGTTTAGGGTTTAGGGTTTAGGGTTTAGGAGAGTCGCTTGGAGAGGTTGGTACACAAAGAGCATAGGTGAATGTCGTTAGGGTTTAGGGTTTAGGGTCTAAACCCTAAACCCTAGTTTAGGGTTTAGGGTTTAGGGTTGGGGGGCTGGATGGGTAATGCGTAGATTGGGAGAGCTTAGGGTTTAGGGTTTAGGGTTTAGGGTTTAGGGTTTAGGGTTTAGGGTTTAGGGTTTCATCAGTTGAAAATATTTAAAAATAAATAATAAAAATATGAAAAAAGTTTTATACTTTCGATCTAATTTTCTAGGGTTTAGGGTTTAGGGTTTAGGGTTTAGGGTTTAGGGTTTAGGGTTTAGGGGCTTGGGTTTGCAGCCCCAGCGTCTGTTGCAGGAGGAAGCTTTTTTTGTTTTGTGTTTTATCGTCATTTATGTTTGTTTGTTTTGTATGTTTATGATATTTGAGGGTTTAGGGTTTAGGGTTTAGGGTTTAGGGTTTAGGGTTTAGGGTTTAATCTCTTTCGTTGATGATTTAGGGTTCAGGGTTTTGCGTTCTAGTGTAGGGGGTGTTTTCTTTGTTTCTTTTGTGTTCTGTATTCAAACCTTTTAGGGTTTAGGGTTTAGGGTTTAGGGTTTAGGGTTTAGGGTTTAGGGTTTTGTTATAAACCCTTTTCCTCTCGTGTTTCTTTTGTCTGTTGTTTGAATACCTCTTTCTTTCTCTCTTTCTTTCTTTTTTCTTTCTTTTTCTTTCTTTCTTTTTCTTTCTTTCTTTTTTATTTTCTTTTTCTTTTTTTTTTCTTTTTTTATAATAAAATATTTAACCTCTCTTACCTCTCTCTCCCCCCCCAACAAAACAAAGAAAACACCACCCCGAAGAACCCCAATCCAAGTGTATATATTCTTTCTTATTTACAATCCATACAAAACAACAAAACCCAATAAAATAAACTAAAACAAAAAAAAAA